CAGCCACAGTTGCATGATGGCTTCCAAATAAACTAGGTTTATAGTAGGACTCAAAAAACAGAAGGATAGCCCAGTGATTCAGGCCCCAGCATGTCCCTCCTTGAAATAAATACTGAATCCTAGCTGAAAACCAACTTAGCTCAAAGACACAGGGAGACATACATCAAAATACCAGGAAAGTGGACTTTAGTGGAATGGCTCACACAAAACTTCCAGTGGAGCCCAGAGAAAGAAACTTTCACTCTTTGCCTCGAAGAACTGTCTGAAACAAATAAACAAAGCTCACTGCACCACAGCTCTTTCCTGTCTCTTCTACCCAAGTGAACTGAGTCTTCAGGAGTTAAATTCTCTTCTGTGGTTCTTGCAATCCCCCTAGAATAGAGCTCTAAAAGGAGACAGGCAGCTGTTTCAGAAAAACATGAGGCAATAATCAGCCAACATTGCTTACCAAAGCACAAAGCTCTTGGGAGCACAAGCCGTTATTCAAATCAGCCCCACACTCTCTCTTTTTTAAATCCTCAAGCTGAAAAAGTAGGCTGGAACCCTTTAAAATCTCTCCATAATTTACCTCCAAAATAAACAAGTGGTCAATTTTTTTTTCCTCCCCAGTGCTATGAAATGCCAGGGCAGACATACAGAATTTCAGGAGCAGGGATGAAGAGCTTTGGCAAGCTGTATTATTCTAGACAGGAGACCGGGACAGCTGTGCTTTCCCTGACCAATCTTACCTTAAACTCTCGAAGAGAGATGGGCCTTGTGTTAAATGCACAAGCTTTGTTAGATACTGGCGAACATTAAATGTTACTAAAATGGACCTTATCTGGTCACGGCTGCTAAAAAGTTGTCACTGGGGCAAAACTGCCCACCTGCAGGTTAACAAGTGCAAATCGTTTCGCCTGACCCCAAAGACCCTTCTCGATAGGATTGAGAAACTTATCTTTCCAAAGCTGACTCACTCACTCCTGCCCACGGTCCCTTCTTGTCATTCGCTGAACACATCATGCCTTCTCCCAGGTCCACATCCTTAGACATGCTCTCCTCTCCCAAGTACTGCCCCCGTCTTCACTCAACAAATTCCCACTGGTCCTCCAAGACCTAGTTCAAAGTCACTTCCTCTGTGAAGCCTTCCCTGGTTGTCTCAGGAAGACATAGCTGCTCCCTACACTGCCCCCACTACATTGCCACCTACCAATCTGGACTGGTCTGCCTCTTTTTTTGGTCTCTCCTTGCATTCCGTGTATAGGGGCAGTTTGTGAGCAAACACACATCAAAGGGGCTCCTTCCATTAAATTGTACCACAGAATTCTACCTAAAGAGAGCTTTGCGTGNCAACGAAAGAAATATTTTGACATGAAGATTGTAGAAGCTGATAATCTGCTATATGTTTCCAGTTTACAAAGGTGTTTTTGATGTTGCACAGGAGAAAACATAACTTTTTCCATGATGTTGCACAGGAGAAAACATAACTTTTTCCACTTGAAAATCATACACATTCCCAAGCCACTGGAGGAAAACGTGTTTTGGAAGCAAAATAAGTAAAAAAGAAAAAGAAACCAAACTTGGAGAAGGAATACAATGAAGCCGGAAGCTGGCTGCTGCCCTCTGAGGACAGGGTTAATCGCTTCTGAAGTGGCACAAAGGCCCAGAGTGGAGTCACACAGGCTGTCCCCTATGAGTTACGGAGCAAGGCCCTCCTTACCTGTTGTACACTGGGAATCAAGATCAAATGTGGCATGGCTATAACCTTGAAATGGAGCCCACAGGAGTGTTCTAAGATTCTGCAACTCCCTGTGGTTAAAAGACTCTAGTGAGTGAAAGCTCATGACTTTGGCCTGCTCTGAACAATGTTACCCTCCCCCGTGAGGAATTTGGTATGCTGACAGGAGAAGCAGTGTTCACACTCAATAATCATAAAGGAAAGAATAAAGCAAGTGTTGAAAATGCAAGAAACCAGACTAAGCTGTAACACACTGTGCTCTGTAAGCAGTCCTAATCCGAAGAGAACTGATTAGGCCCAGCCTGATGTAGTGATGCTTATGAAAAAGTCACAGGGCTGAGTTGGAGGCTGTGAATGCTCGTCAGCTCAGGGACCCACCCTTGCCTTCCAGAGCTCTAGTTGAACCCCATCTCACCACCACCTGGAAGCTTGGCTACCACTGTGAAGGATAGGTCTTGTAAGACTTGGGGCCTCAAATCCATGACTTTGAATTTGGAAAGAGATGGGAGATTTGTGTTCCTGTGGTATCTGTAGGACCGTATAATTGATTAAAGCAGCAAAATACCTGAACAATACAGTGAGAGAGAATCAGACTAAAATATGCTGATGTGCGCGTCCTGATGAGCTTTCTCAGTTGGTCTGGGGCAGGGGAAAGGACCTGGGACATCTTCTAAGCCCCAGCTCTGTCCCAGCTCACACTTAGAGCTCACCTAACCCCATGTCCTGTCTGGTCTCATATCTGGACANAACAGAGGCAACAAAAACCAAATAATAAAATGGTAGACATGAATTCACCATAGTTATATTAAATGCAAATGGGATAAAAGTAGTCATGTGCTGAATAATGATGTTTTGGTCAATGACGAACTATGTATACAACAGTATTCCACAAGATTATAATGGAGTTGAAAAATTCCTACCACCTAGTGACGCTGTAGCTGCCATAACATAATAGCGCAAAGCATTACTCACATCTTTGTGACGATGTTGGTGTAAACAAAGCTACTGTGCTTCCAGTCACATAACAGTATAGCATGTACAATTATGTCCAGTACATAATATTTGATAATTATACTAAACAACTATGTTACTGGTTTATGTGTTTGCTATAGTATATGTTTTATCATTATTTTAGAGTTCACTCTTTCTGCAATACTTAGAAAATGTAAAGTCTGCTATAAAACAGTATGCCGTGTTACATTGGCAGTGACCTCAAAGTTCTTGCATTTACCATGTCTCTTGATTGCATCATTTTTCTCTTGTGCCTCATTTACTATCATATTGTTTTGTAAAGCAACGTGCTGTACAGTCTTGTAGCCTAGGAGCAATAGGCTATACCATACAGCCCAGGTGTGCAGTAGGCTATACTGTCTAGGTTTGTGTAAGTGCACTCTATGATGTTCACACAAATTGCCTAATGATGCACTTCTCAGAATGTATCTGTATTGTTAAGCAGCATATGACTGTACACCAACTAAAAGACAGAGATTTTTA